TAGAAAGAATATGGGACAGTTGTCAGCACTGTGTACAAGACAGGATCATTTAATAAGAGATTTTGAAAACCTGAGAATTGAAGTATTAACATCACCAGTAAGGACATCGGCAAAGTTAGCAAGTTTTACTATGAAACCGACACTCAGGGACAGAATAGTAGCCACTCAGAAAGATGATCCCTTTTTGGAAAAGATCAGGGCTGATGTAGGGACTGAGAAGAGCAAGGGATTCGAAATAGCCGAAGACAAAGCCTTGATGTTTAAGGGTCGATTGTGCGTGCCAAAGGATGAAGCGTTGAGAAATGAAATTATGACTGAGGCTCACTCAACTCCTTACGTTGCCCACCCAGGTGGAACTAAGATGTATTGAGATTTGCATAATACATTTTGGTGGAGAAATATGAAAAGGAAGATATCTCTGTTCATGTCCAAATGCATGGTTTGCCAACAGGTGAAGGCCGAACATCAGAGGCCGTCAGGACTATTGAACCCCATGGACATACCAGAATGGAAGTGGGAAAAGATTGCAATGGATTTTGTCATTGGATTTCCTAGATCAGTGAAAGGTCATGATGCGATCTGGGTAATTGTGGACCGACTTACAAAATCTGCTCATTTCTTGTCAGTTCGGACAACTTACAGCTTAGAACAGCTTGCACAAATTTATGTCAGGGAGATTATGCGACTTCATGGTGTTCCAGCATCTATCGTATCAGATAGAGACCCGAGGTTTACTTCGAAGTTTTGGATAGGTCTTCAGAAAGCTATGGGTACCAAGTTAACATTTAGCACTGCATATCATCCTCAGACTGATGGACAATCTGAACGAACTATACAAGTTCTTGAGGATATGTTGAGAGCTTGTGTCCTAGATTTGGGTGGTAAATGGGAAGATCATTTGCCGTTGGTTGAATTCGCATACAACAATAGCTTTCAAGCCATTATTGGCATGGCCCCATATGAGGCTTTGTATGGTAGACGATGTCGTTCGCCATTATACTGGGATGAAGTTGGTGAAAGGAAAATTTTAGGCCTAGAATTGGTCGAGAAGACTGTGGAGGCTATAAATAAAATTAGATCAAGAATTAAGACTGCACAAGATCGTCAAAAGAGTTATGCTGACAAAAGGAGGAAAGAATTGACTTTCGTGATTAGAGAGAAAGTATTTCTCAAAGTGGCACCAATGAAGGGAATACTACGATTTGGAAAGAAAGGGAAGCTAAGCCCTAGATTTATCGGTCCATTTGAGATTCTTGAAAAGATTGGGAATGTGGCATATCGATTAGCATTGCCACCCGAGCTTTTAGCAGTGCACAACGTATTTCACATTTCTATGTTGAGAAAGTACATTTCGGATCCTAATCATGTGGTGAATGTTCAATCACTGGATGTCCAGAGTGATATGACTTATGAGGAAGCTCCTGCAGTGATTCTGGAGAGAAAGGACCATGTCTTGAGAAATCGAAAAGTCCCACTAGTCAAAGTCTAGTGGAGTAAACATGGTGAGGATGAGGCAACTTGAGAACGAGAAGAGAACATTTTAGCCAAGTACCCTGATCTCCTTAAAACAAGTAAGTTAAATTTCGAGGACGAAATTATTTTAAGTGGGGAGAGTTGTAGCGACCGGAAAAAAATGTGTTTTGTTTCGTTTCAAATAAAATTTTCTTATAGGACTCAAATATAATTTGGGTTATATTATTATGTCGCTACGACACTTCCTAATATTTCAAATTAAATTTTGGTCACGAAAGTAAAATTTCACGTACTTGATTTTCTTAAATTTTACAAGGTGTTAAAATCGCTTTTAACCGACAAAATTTTATGTTAATTTAGTTACATTATTTTTCTTACGACACACTTTATTTTAATACTACCATTTTTGTTTCCGTTATGTAAACTATTTTTTTTTATTTTTTTGAAATTGGACAAATTACTTGCATGTTTCATCATCCATCATTTATTCTCCAACTTATCATTCTAATAAACTTCTATTTTTGTCAATGCCAAAACCATCCCCGATCATTCATTTGAAAATAAAATTACAACTCCAATTTTTATCCATTACCCCCACTTTATTATCCATTGTAACCTCCAATTTTAACCAACCATATCTTAGCATATTAATCTCCATTTTGTTAACTGCCAACAATTATCATTTTAACTCCCCACTAACCATGTTTTTATTTTATTTTATTTCCCCACATCAGTTAACTGTCGCCCACATCATTTGAGGAAAAAAAAACTGCTGACTTTATATTTGAAAAGTAACCTGCACGTCCATCATTCAAAATCCACCAATTATCTTCATTTAGCATTTTAAATCTTATCTAAACAATTTCAATTTCAACCTACCCACTAAGTGCATTTTAACATCCACTTTTGCAC